AATAAAGAAACTAATGGATCATGAGGGAAAGATGGTTTGTGTAAAATATGGTTTTCAATATGCTGGTAAGAAGATTATTGAGTTACGAGAACCACTTTTTTTTAAAAGAAAATTTGGCTTTTGATGTTTAGACTAAATAAAACTTCTATTTTTTTTTTTTAACTGGGTTACTATAGTTAGACTTGAAATACTGCTGCTATATTCTCTTTTAAGGCACCAGGTTTTCTGCAAAAAGTGGGATCAACAAGTCTAGATAACTAAGGAAACAAGAACAGTCCTTTCCTCAGTTCGAGTAGTTTTGAGGCAGTTGGATTATCCAGATACTTTAAGCTTCATGAGACCTGAGTATGGTAAACATGGTCTATAAGTGTCCTGCTTTGTTGTCAGACCTATGATTGGTACTTAATGATGAACTTAAATCAAAAACCAATCTTAACTGTTTGCTCCAATTCTAACCTTAATCTTTTTTTAACAAATCTATTTGCTAATCTTATGTAATCTTACAATTTTTTTGTCCTTTACCTTAATCTGAAACTCATACCGGGTCTTCTAGGACAAACCACAGACACACATAGGATTGAATGGTGGCAGTACAAGCACTTGCATTAGTTTAGCTGGACACAGCCAGGACGGCACTTCATTAGTTTAGAGGAGGAGAGCCTAACTGAATGAAATGTTAGGAGTATGGCTGCCGACACTACTGGAGCTCACAGAGCTGATATTACCTGCACTGTTGTACACCGACAATGTTTTCACGTCCTTATCCCTCACCTTAACAGATTTCTGTTCCAGCAATGTGTTGATATTTATATTATAGTTGGCCCAAATTCACAAAACCACATGCTATAGTTGATTTTGGCCCCTAGCCCCAGAAAAGCTACAAACCACACCAGCTCTGTCAACTTTAAAGAGTAAATGTGCACTAAAAACCCTCACTACCTGCTACATGATTTTGACACATGGATGTCAAGAGTTAGGACAAAAAAAAAATAACATTTATGGGCATTTTTGTTTTTCCATTTGTTAAAAACATTATGGCCCAAATTCACAAAACCACATGCTATAGTTGATTTTGGCCCCTAGCCCCAGAAAAGCTACAAACCACACCAGCTCTGTCAACTTTAAAGAGTAAATGTGCACTAAAAACCCTCACTACCTGCTACATGATTTTGACACATGGATGTCAAGAGTTAGGACAAAAAAAAAAATTACATTTCTGGGCATTTTTGTTTTTCCATTTGTTAACAAAATGATGGCAGGACAATTACTCTTGCACGTGGCCAGTTGCTCATTTTAACTGCTGAGCCACGTGGGGATAAACAAGGCAGGTAGAGGACTGTGCTCAAAAACTGACATGACCACCATTGTTGTGTTTTCATCAAAATCCAAAATGTCCAGTTTACATATCAAAAAATGTGTTTTAGTCATTTGGCAAACCAAGACATCCTGTTATTAGACTGAGAAACAGTATTTGTCTCAGCTAACAACTCATGATCCATTTCACCAAACCTGAGGTGCCACAGGGAGCCGGTCTGGGATCAGTGAAATAAGAGTAATTTTCCAGTTAAAAACTATCTTAGCAAATATAAAACTGCAGTTGACAATGTCTTAGTAGGAGGTGATCTCAGCTGGAAAAAGAATTTTCCAAAGAATATGAATGAGATCTCATTTCTGCCCCATCCTTCTCCTAGTCTAATATGGGTGAGGGAGGTCTGTATGGAAGCCAATGTCTCGTGCAGCTCCACATCCCTCACACAACTCCTTATCACACTGTAATTGCCAAAGCAAGCGCACCCCCCTCTTTATAAAGCAATCCAGTCACATGTGAAGTAATTAAATCTTGTTTATAATTAAACTAGTCCATGTTTTGTTTCACATTGCTGAAACTAAAGACAAGTAAAGTGCTATTTCACTGTGACATTAACTTATATGCAGATGACGCCCTTCTTAACTAGATTTACAAATTCATAGCAACAAATCTGCCATGACACTTTTTGACCTTCAAAACTTCAGGCAGATGAGACAAAACCTGAGCAGTTTGTTCAGCAATTGGAAAGGCTTAGAAAACGATCAGCGTACTGAATAAAGTTCCTCCAAACAAATTGCTTGGTTTTACATAAAAACTAACACTAGGACAACATACAGGAGTCAGGGAACACAACTAAAATATACCAGGTGAGCAGTTTAATTCAAACTGCTGTAGTCCTATACAGTAACAGGTATATTTCAGCAGTCTGTTTTTCAGAAATGTTTAGACCATTATTAAGGAAGAGTTAATGCCCTTAAAGAGTTATTTAGTAAGTTAATGCCTGCTAATACTGGTTATGTTGGATATTGTCTAATTTATTTTCTTTTCCAGAGTTTTCTCAAATTTTGTTCCACTTGTACATTTGGTCCAGGAAAAAAAAAAAGAGTATCAATAATGGAATACAAGTTAAAATTTCTGTTAAAGACAAAAACCTTCACAAATTTATATTTATATAATTATTTTGTGAAGAAACCAAAGACTCCTGCACATTCTGTCACTTGCACTTACTTTATTAACAACGTTTTGACCTCAGACTTTTATCAGGCAATTTGATATAGTACTGCTTATTAGGATTTAGTTCATTCTGTTTGCTCATTTGTCTTCATCATTGTTTTACTGTGGATTGGGGGGGGGACCCTTAGTGGTTCTAAACCACAGATCACTTCATCAGACATTATTGCAGCTCTGGGCCACATAACATACCTTTGTGTGATAATTTTTCTCTGGTTTAATGTCAGCATTTTGAATGTTCACTCGAGAAACCACTCAGAATGTTCAGGCATCTTCCAGTCTCCATGTGAGTTACAACCTCCACGACAGTGTCCTTCCTACTGCTCCTTGAGCAAGACGTTAAACCCTACTGTCCAGTATCATTTAGCCAAAGGCCTGTCGTGTCAAATTGATGACAGCGCATCCATTTACGTTTTCTGGCTTTTTAGGTTAAGCATAAAGCCTATTGTTAAGTTTTGAATTGAGAAATCTGATTTGTGCCTCTTTTTTGTCCGCCTCAGCAGCATTATTAAAATGAAGATAAATTGCAGCCAGTGCCAGCGAAATTTTCTTCAAAAGAAACAAAGCCAAATGAACACTGAAGATGTATAAAATGCGCTTTGTTCATCAGAGGAAGGGAGAGAAAAAAGACTCCACTCAGCCAGCTCTGAATGCTGCATTTCATTCCGCAACAATTATGCTGAAAGGTCAAGTATTACAGCATCTTATACTCCGCTTTGCATGCAAAGTATTTCAGCCCACAAATGACCCTCGTTTGCGCTCTTTGCACAATGGCTTAAAGAACCAGATAAACGTGGGACAATTAAAGATTTTTGCTGCTAGCTGACAGTAACATTTACCAAAAGGGGTGATTGCAGTTGATGTGTAATTGTCCTATTTGTAATGCACATGAATGCTTCGGCTTCCTGCAATGAAATGTTTAGGAACTTAAGAAACAAGAACAAGAGTGGCTGTGTTAAAAGATGAAAGTGCATTATTTTGCAATCTGTAAACAAGGTAATTATGAATGATTATCTTCTGCAGAGCTCCAAGTTGTGTTGAAAATGTTGAAATTTCTGTGTGTGATTATGAGGTGACTTGATTTTTATCCAGCATTCTATATTTTTAATTCACTTTGTGCATCTTTGTGCTGATTTTCTATTAACATATCTACTTCAGCACCGTGGACAGCACCCAGGTCCGCCTCGGCATCTCTAACAAATTACACACAAAACAATAGAACAGAGAATCCCTCAGAAATTCAATACCAAGTTTTAATTTGTATTAGATGGTGTTTTTCATTTATGCATGCGTTTCCTTAATACAAACAAGCCACAGGAATCTGTAATAATCAATGTCAGAGATTAAACTCAGCTTTGCATTGAACAAAATCAATGAAAACTCGCGATTTTGTTGACTTGTTGTAGGATTAGCTTATATTCTTAATATCTTATGTATTAAATAATCATATTTCATAAATCGTAGATTCTCTTTGTCATATCTCTCGTCAAAGTTTCATTCAGTCTTACAAAAATGTGTTTCGGAGGAACCAATTAATGCTATTGCAGCAAAACTGAACACAGGCAACAAAACCAACTTTAACGGGGTCTAAACCTGCAGCATCATGACTGGGTATTATTTGCATCCTGATCTCCGACACTGCGGTCTAGATGTTTACTCCCCATTGAAGAATTGTCCCTAAGATAATGTATGCACTTTAGAAACGCAACTTGAAATGGCTAAGGCTGACATTTTCTGGGTGTAAGTTGCATTATTCACTAATTACAAGTCAAATACAATTTTTAATACAATTTTATCGACGTCAATGAAAAAACTGAAATCAACTCTTGCTTGTTGATCATCTCCTGGAATTTATTGCAGCCTCATTTTTAAGACGCACGCATATTTGAAATCCTTTAACTATAAATTCAAACCGGAGCTGCACGGAGACATAAAACAGAGGTTTGCTGGTGCAAAGTATTATCCTGCAAGTCAGAATCAGAATCAGCTTGAATGTGATACTGAAGCTAAACAGGCGAATAAAATTCACCAGCTAGTCCCTGACTTAAATGCGATAACCTTGAGATTAGACACTAATTGCTTGAGGTTCATGGAGACCAGCCCATAAAGCCAGGAGGACTTGGGGATTTGCACTGTGGGGTTCTACAAAAGAGAGCGATGAGAGCATACACGCTTCCAACAAGTCATTCTCAACAGCTACAAGCTGCACACAAAGACCACACACCGCGCCAAAGACATGTTAATGTAATCCCAAAGTTCTCACTTCTCTGCGGAACAAAACCAGCTCTACAAAATACCTGATGCAAGGTAGTTTCTGATGCTGGTAAGATTTCACTTAGAAGCCCCCTAAAGCGTCACCCCCTCCCACCCCCCCCCCTCCTTTTGGGGGGCAC